CAGGTATTTTTTATTGCATTGAAATACAGTAAAACGTGTGTCCTTAGACTTGCATCTCCATAAACATGACTCCTGCTGGTTTCCATAGAAATGTTTTTCTTTTGGCTATAATATTCCACAATATTCCATACTTCAGCGCATTCACCATGGAGATGGATGAGTTTTTGTGGTTTTTAACTTTTTATTTTCATGGAAACATGTAAATGATGTGCCACCTCTAGAAAGTTGCATGGTGTTGCTAGGCCTGTTACCATAAATATTATATCAACTTATCACTCAATAGTAGACAGATTGCATAATACTTTTTGGGGGGTTGAGACTTTCTCGTTTTGGTTTATTTTTCTGTACTACAATTAGATTTGAGCTGTAGAGTGTTGAACTATGAACTTCTCTGACTTTTTCTTCTATGATAAGTGTTGCATTCTGTTATTTTTTTTATTTACTGTAGTTCTCATTTTAACAATATTTTACAATTAGAACATTTTTTGGGGGGGGAAGGGGGGTATTACCATTTATCGTCTGTATTTACTTCAGCAATATATCACTCTTCAAAATGTGCTTTAATTTTAATTTAATTTCCATGATATTTTTAAAGGAGCTAAGATAAAAACACACATACACACTAAAATCGACTGAAACAACACAGATTTTGCTGAAAAGACTTGGACTGAAACTAAATCATTATAGAACGTATACATTTGTCATTTTCAGTGAAGATTATGATAAGTTTAAGCTGTATCCAGGATGTTTTTGGCTGACAGAAGACCACGTTATCCATCAGAGCATCAAACCTGCAGTGTTTTCTGGCAGTGTCATTAATTATTCAGAACAGGACCAGGGCCAAATCCTGCTTTGTCTGAACTCCCCGGCCACAGGGTCCATCTGCTCTTGGCGTGGACCTGGGTGTGTTTGTGACTTCTACAGTTACAATATATGGGCCAAAGTCCAGTCCGAGCTCAAACTGTAACAGCGCTGACTGAGTCCTGACACAACACCAGCTGCTGTTTGTGTGAGGAGTGGACCAGGGAGGGGGCAGTGGGAGGGCATCTGGGGCAATGTCTGGAATTAAGTGCTACCACTGCCAGACAAAAAATAAGAAGTGAGGTCAACGCGGACAAGCAAATGTGGCGATTTGTTTTACTGTTGTATACACTGAAAAACTAAAATCTAGCAAAGTTAAAGTTAACATTACTTGAATTAACAAAGTTTTATCATGATAATTTGACAAGTAAAATTATCAACCAGTGGAATAAGACTTTTTGTACTTAAGACTTCCTGCACTGTGTAACTTTTCTGGTAGAGGGTCCGTCACCTCCTCATCTCCATGGAAATATTGTTGCTTTGTCCAAAATGCTCCACACTGTTGCATTAAACTGTATTAAACGTTCCTATGTCCATGAAAACAAAAAAGTGACACCACCGAGCCAAGTTACACGTCAGATCTGTGGAGAGGCTTTTTTAAGTAATAAAAACACCTGTAATTGAGTAAATGCAAGATAGATAAGTTTAATGCCATACTGTGGAACATTTCAGGCAAAGCAGTCAAATCATCATGGGAAAAAAAATCAGATGACAGACCCTCCACCAGAAAAGTTAAAATATGAAAATTTGTCTTGCTACACTAATGTCGCTTGAAGTAAAGAAAACACACTTACTCCATTCCGTAAATAAAGTAAAATGGTTTTAATTTTAGTCATTTTAGCTAGCTTTTTGCAGGGTTGGCCTGTCATCACCATAACAAATTTTGAAGTACAATATATTGCTGAAGAAAAACGATAATATTGAAACTTTTAAATTTGACACTGACAGTAACTCTAAAGCAGGATTATCTCCAAAAACTATTCTAAATGTATGATATTGTTAAAAAGGACAAACTGCAATAAATAAATAGAAGAATTAAACACTTTAGTAGTTACTTTGTATGTATAATAAGACATAGAAGTTATTCATTTGCTCCTTGCAGCTGAAATCTTATAGTACAGAAAAATAATAAAAGATTTCCAACTAGTACAATGAAAAATATTGATACATTTTGATACCTAAAAATGATTTTTCTATCTATCAAATATTAAATGATCCAACTAAATTAATTTTAACCAAAAAATTGTTAAAATTTGCTTTGATCTTTTTAATTAATAGTAATAGTCATTTACATGTGACAAACACATCTCAAAGTGCTACAGTTGGTTTATAATTACAATTTATTGAGAAGTTTACAGTCAATTCTCTGTCAATGAAAGCATGCTGTTTGTTGCAGAAGTTGGACTTTTGAGTAAGAATTGAAGTCTCTGAATAGGGGCCAATTATATTAAAGAAATGAATGTTGAATAAAAATAAAAAAATTAAGATTATATTAGAAAGAGCTAATGGCCTACTTGTTTACGTTGTAATAAAGTTCAAATAATGACATGCCCAAGCTACATTTCCAACCTTGCATTTTTATTTAGGCTGTTTAAAGTCAATTTTCTCTTTTCGCTGTCCAACTTTGTTATATAAGAGAACAGATACATCACTTTGGTGCATTCAAGGACATCATGAATATCAGGAATAGTAGCTTCTTTGTTTGAAATATACCCTCTGCTCTGTACAATATCGAGTAACAGAGAATTGTCTTTTTGTTCTCTACACAGGAAAGTCCCATCTGGCCATTGTCCAAAAAGTCAACAATGAAGGAGAAGGAGACCCTTTCTATGAAGTTTTGGGACTGGTCACCCTTGAAGATGTTATAGAGGAAATCATCAAATCAGAGATCCTTGATGAATCAGACATGTACAGTAAGTAGACCATGTCCTGTTATTGAAAGATTATTTTATTATTATTTTATGTATTTTAATTTGTATATTGCATTTATTTATTTATATTTTAAACTGATATTTGTGTTTCCTTGTCTCATCAGCTGATAACCGTACCAGGAAAAAGGTGGCCCCAAATAAAAACAAGAGGGACTTTTCTGCTTTTAAACATGAGAGTGAATCTAAAGTGAAGATTTCTTCTCAGCTCCTCCTCGCTGCCCATCGCTTCCTAGCAACAGGTAAGAATACATGCCATATTTATTTCAACACTGTACTTCATCATAAACAGGAGGTAATTAACACCTGCTTGTAGGCCAACTAGATAAATGTTGGTCAGATGTAATGTTGTCTCCCAGTAAATTTAGTCCCTTTGGCCACTTGGACAGCTAATTTTGTAACGTATTGATCTTGTAACCTTGACTACTTCCTCTGTAATATAATCCGTATTTGCTTTTACATCGATTTGATCTTCGTCCAGACATAGAACCAAATTTAACATAACTTTGAAGCTCCTAGGTGCACAATATAAAGATTTTAGTGGGAGTTTTGCCACTTGCTGAAATGCTCCATAGTGTGGCATTAAACATATCTGTCTCCATGGAGATACCAAACCAAGTCACAGGTCAGATCTGTGGTGAGACAAACTCGCTCACAGTTTTAGTTGTTGATTTTTTTTTAGCTATTGTTAGTGAATGCATGATAGTGTAATGCTACACTGTGGAACATTCTTGGCAAAGCAATATCATCTCTATCCAGCTATGGCATCCTCTGTGGTCATTGCAATTAAGCAATAAAATCAAAATATTATATCTTTTGAATGGGGAAAGTCCTCATCACGTCCTTCAAATCAGGAAGGAATTGTTTGTCTGGAACCCATGAATAGAGGGAAACAGGTGCATGAGAAAAGTTACATAGTGCACCTTTAATTCCAGAAATATTTATTTCATTACAAACCATTGCAACTAATACAATGGAGCTCAACAGTGACCATCCGCTCAGACCTGTCCCCGGTTCTGGAAGTAAACTTCTTATTCATTTTTTCCACCGACTGTCTGGAAAAAAAAAGTCTGAAAGCATAATCAGCAACGCGGTAACTAATGAACACAAGACCTATAATTTCATTTAAAAATCTGTTTCTGAAACTTTATAATCCATGAAGTTATTAAAGCATTAGTTACACTTAGCTGTTGCCCTCTGCGATGTCTTTGAACTCTTAATATTTGAAATTTTTGAAAAGCCTATGGGAAAAATAAATGGAAAATGCACTTCCGGATCCAGAGCAGGCGGTCACTGTTAAAGGTCCTGTATTGCGCAAAATTGATTTTTCAGAGCTTTAAGACATGTTAGAATGCTGTTACTCATCAAAAACACATTATAAATGGCGTAATACAGACCCTTTAAGCTCCATTGTGTTTAGTTAAAGCCCTAATTGACTAGAACATGTTTTTTTTGCCTCTTCTTGGCTATTGTAAGCATACAGTAATTCAGTGGTATGTTTTTTTGTAAAAGTGGTCAGACAGGGCTTAAGTATCAACCACAATGCCATGATCCGGGGTGTGATCCTGACCCCATCACCTGACTCCCCGCACATGTCTGAGCACGCTAGACTCGACGTGTTTATATCCATTTGTGTAGCTCATTTTAGCACATGTATCTGAGCCTACCAACCAGGAACAGTGTGGAGAAGAGCCAGGCTGGAGGACTGCAGCTGAGAATGTCGCAATCTGCTCTAGTTAGCATATTTATAGCGCTGACGGTTGGCTTTAGTCGTCGCTTAACATGACATAGCTCTTCTTACTCATAGGCAATTAGTATTTTGTAATAAGTTTGTTTTTTTCTTCTTTTTATGTCTTATAATAGATGATAGAAAACTGAAAATAGGCAACTAAAGGCCCCATATTACGCAAAATTGACTCTTGTGAGCTTTAAGCCATGTTATAATCTTTTTGCATCATCAAAAACATGCCCAGTGTAGTTATTTTGTTTACACATGTGTGAGTAATCCTTTATTCTTAATCTGTTTACATAACCAAATCTAAAAATGCTCTGTTCCACCTTGTTATGTTATGAAAGTTTTCAATTTAACAGCTACCTTTTACATTTTGTTTAGTAACGATGTAACAATATCCAGATCTCACAGTACGATATTTTCCACGATATACATCTCACAGTATGGTATTTTGTGGAGGGTAACAAAATTGTGATTATGCTTCTTTTTCCTCTTAAAATACCTTGACAAGACTTAATTTAAAGAACTAAGACTTAAAAGTGCTTAGAACTGTTATTTCTTCATGTAGTTTGCATCAAAACGGAGCAAAGCTTTTGCCGCACCATGACAATGATTTTAAGCAAAGAAACTTGTGATTTGATATATTGTGATGGCCCATGATATTACTGAGAGACTTTTGACGACACGACACCACAATATTTTGGTTATTGTTACATCCCTATTGTTTAGTAGAGATTGGTAGTTTCAGGGCTGAAATTGTCCAAATGATTCTACTGTTATATATGTAGTGTAAACACATTTTCTGATTGAGAGAAGAACTGTAGTGAATGAAACAAAACATAACTCCAGGCATGTTTTTGATGAAAAAACATTATAACACTCAACAGAAAACAGCCTAATATGGACCCTTTAAAGTTGGAGTACTCTGAGCTAAATCTATTTAACTACTTGATGTTTTAAGTAGGTAAATAAGTACATTTCATGAATCAGTTACGCTCATATCATTTCAGTCCTCACTTTGTTTGTTCTGTGGAGTCTATTGCTTTGAATTTGGGTGGAGACCAAGGCACTCAGGACTAGCTGTTCCCATTACAGCAACTTGTCATACGGCAATTGAGAAATCCATATCCACAAAAGGCACTTCAGAAATTCAGTTCATAATTTTTCTTGTATCTATCAAATCATAAACATTGCAGAAGACTTTGTTAATTATTAATTTTAGTACATATTTCTATCGCTTACCAAATATATTCTTTGTGCCTTTTTAATGTAAACCTTAAGGTTGTTGTGTTTTTACTACTTAAAAAAAAAAATACTTTTTTTTCCTCATATTGACTGATCTAACTTTTTGGTGCATTTATTGCCATGGTATTAGCTGTAGTCCTCTCAATTAAAAAGCACCAAGCATTAAGTCTGTCAGGATTCAATATATACTATTAACAACATTTTTCAGGCTCAGTATTTATCATGTGTACCTTTTCTTTGTACTAGTGTGGCCATTTTTAATAATTGTACATAGTATTTAAGTATTTAAGTATTTAAGTTGTAGATTCCGGTGATTTTTATACCAAACTATTGTTAAAATCTGTTTTGATATCACAGAAGTGCAGCCGACAGACTTGGCTTCCTTTTGTGCACAAATTTTACAAATATCCAATGCGATTCTTAGCTCACAGTCAAGTCAGACATATTTTATTTTCAGAAGTTAGTTTTCTTTACTGCTCTCAGGCCGTTGCTTTTTTGTCCCCTTTTCAAAAACTAACAGGTATTTTAAAGCTTGTACTCCTACTGCAATTCATCTTTTAATTTCTACATAGGTGTAATATCATTTGATTGGGGCTTCATTGACCTCAGAGCTCCTGTACATTCAGAATCACTACAACTGTTGAGTGTTTGTTGTATGATTTTTATTGCTCAAACGAATTGCCCCGGTGGGATTAACAAAGTCCTTTGAAACTGAATCTGAATAGATGTTCCAGATAGATTGATAGATAGATAGACAGATAGATAGATAGACAGATAGACAGATAGACAGATAGACAGATAGATAGATAGATAGATAGATAGACAGATAGACAGATAGATAGATAGATAGACAGATAGACAGATAGACAGATAGATAGATAGATAGATAGATAGATAGATAGACAGATAGACAGATAGACAGAGAGATACTTTATTGATCCCAAAGGAAATTCAATGTCTGGCAACAGTAACAATGAAACAAACATAGCCGTCCATCTTCTTGAATTCACTGACTATAGGGGTGCATTATACTGAATACTATAATTAACTTTAGTGTTTTATTGTACTATTTATACATTTATATCATCCTGCTGTATCATGATATTTTTGCTTAAAATTTGCTCTTGTGACAGGTCCAGATCTAAATGTGATGACTCTGATAATTACCCAGTTCTCATTTTGTATACCACCCACCATAACGCCTGGACTATAATGTAATGTCTGGACTAACTGCCTGTTTTTCTGTTCTTCCTGCAGAGGTCAGCTTGTTCAGCCCATCTCAGATCTCGGACAAAGTGTTACTGAGGATTCTGCGACATCCGGACGTCATCCAGGAAATAAAGTATAATGACAATGATAAACGTTCACTCCATCACTACGTTTACCAGAGGGGCAAAGCTGTCGACTACTTTGTGCTCATCCTACAGGTATGCACTTTAAAAAAGCCACACTGTGTCACTTTTTAGCCACCTGCATGTCTGCATGGACATTTTAATCCTTTGGCTATAATTTTCCTAAGTATGACATTAAGAGTAGTTATCTCCTTGGAGAAGTATGGTGTTAACTTTCTAATTCCATGTAATCATGCAGGTAATTTGCCGCCTCCAGAAAGTTACATGGTGTTGCTTTGAAATTAAGATTAATTTCAGAGTGTATGTTTTTAAACAAGTCCAGGTGCATCTGAGGAAAAACTGTGTAATCTAAAAAGTAAACACCCATGCAAGAGTCACACAGATTTCATATTTTTGTAGAGGTGTAAACTACAGGGTTAGCATGTTTTACACGTAAAACATCAAATTAAATCGTCCAATGAGGTTCATTTGCTCTTCCGATCATTTATTTTAATAGATTTCTTTTTTAAAGGGCCCGTATTACGCTATTTTTCAGATCTATGTTATAATGTTGTTTCCTCATCAAAAACACGCCAAAAAACCTGGTGTTGCGTTTTTGTTCCTCACATGTTTAACACAAAAATCTTCTTCTTTTAAACAGAGAAGTGTCATATGGTAATACAGGAAGTGATCCACTGTGTTTTTAAACTCCATATACCCTCCCTAGAATCACTGAGATTATTTCAGCCCTGGAAATGCCCATCAGATATTGAACCAAAGGTAAAAGAAGCTGTTAACTTGAATATTACTGCTTCATGACGTCACAAGGTGGAACACAGCATTTTGATCTTTGGAGATGTAGACAGTATGTAACAAAGGATACTCAAACAAGTGTAAATGAATCAAAACACAACTTCAAGTATGTTTTTGAGGAGTTGACAACATTATAACATGGCTTAAAATGCACAAGAATAAATTTTGTGTATATAGGACCTTTCTGAAAAAAGTATTAAACTATATAAAATGAAATGATTTCTTTTTCCTAAATATATAAATATCTGACTTGCTAATTACTATTATTGAAATTGGTTTTCATATCAATACCTATGGCTGTATTATGTGATGCACCAGAAGGTGGTTTTAAAAATAAATGGCATGGAGCGGACCCCCCACTGGACTATAATGAACCCCCCAGAGTCCTTCAAAATGCCAGTCTCACGCTGGCGTGGCCCAGAGAAAAACTGTGCACCTGATTTAGAATTCTGACCTTCTAAATACCTCCTCTTCATCCTCCGTCTTTCTCCTCATGTAAGAAGATTTTGTTTTATATATTGAATACAAGGGCCGGATGCAGTTGACTATGGGAGGCATGCCGGCCGCAGCTGGCGGTGAACGAATATATCTCGGTATGAGATAGTGATAAATTATTAAACAACATTGCTCTGACAATTAACTAAATGTGAAATAATTTGATAATTTGCCAAATATTAAATACAAATACTAAAATACTGACCATAATTTAAACTGGAAATCACAAAATAAATAAAACTAGAAATAAAGTATTCAAAGTAATAGCAATTATATATAAATATAGTCTTTTTATAATATACAACTCGCTGGTAATGCCCTCCATAACCTTCTGTATTGAGATTTGGGGCAATACATATAAGCCTAATACAAATGCAATCTTTACCTCGCAAAAAAGGCAACAAGAGCAATCACATTATCAACTTATAATGAACCAACCAGTTCATTATTTATAAACCTTCAAACTCTGAAATGTTATGATTTAGTCAACCTTTACACTTTGGAAATCATGTTCAAAGTAAATAACAATCTCTTGTCAAAATCATAACAGAATATGTTCAAAATAGCTACCGAAATAGCTGATATGAGCTCAGAGGTGCAGCCAAGTTTATTAAAAAGAAAATCAGAACAAATATTATGGAATTTTTTGCCTGTTAAAGGGGTGGAGCTCTGGAACAAATGTACAGAGGACCTAAAAGTGTGCACAACATTCTGTTCCATTTTATAAAGAAGTTAAATGTTTACTCAGGGCAGACAGAGGACATCTTGATACTTAGTTTGTGCTGTAGTAATTTGTTGTACTGTTACTGATTTCAATCCAATCCACTTTATTTTTATATAAAACATTTCACAAACAATCAGTTTCCAAAGTGCTGCACAAATACATAATAATAACAAACATAAATATGATAAAATAAACGCCCAGATTTAATCATACTAATCTTAAAATAATAAAACCAGTAAAATAAAATAAGAGCAAAATCATAGAATAGCAATAAATAAATAAAGCCAATAAAAGACATTAAAAATAAAATAAAATAAATAAAAGACACAGAGGACCACACAACTCACGCAGAGTAAAAAAAACAGAGAATAAAAGTGGGTCTTAACACAATTTGTTTCCTTTTGCTGTATTTATATGAACTGGTGTCAAGGTGACGCTCTGATAAAGGAATAAAGTGTAGGCATAATAACCTCAAGTTTCAGCCTACACCTTTTCAGTCTGTGTATGTTAAATAAGACAGTCTGTGGAACAATGTCAGAATATACCTGTGACCGAAATAAAAATTAATCAAAAATCAAACTTAATGTTTGGAATTGACAACTGCAAAATTCATTGTCAATTGAAGTACCGTCTTTTTTGGACTATAAGTCGCACTTTTTTTCATGGTTTGGGTGGTCATGTGACTTATACTCCAGCGTGATATATATATGAAAATTTTCACACCAAGAGCCGTGAGAATCTCGTGTGCCAGTATCTGCTGCCCCTATTACCACTGTCACATCGCTCTTTTCTGTACGTCTCCTGCGGAAAAAGCTTTTGTCCTTCTGCAAGAAGTGAAATATTCAGTCGAAAATGGTAATCAAGCAGCAGAAAGAAAGTTGTGAGGGACTGGCAAAAAGCGGGGATGGAGAACACAGTTTCATGGTAACCGGGAGGGTGCACCATGCAACTTTACTGGAAGTCACTGGATGGATCTACAAAGCCTGGACTTCAGTAACAAAACCATCCTGTTGGGATTCAGAAAGGCTGGAATAATTCTAACTGAAACTGATACTGAGTCTGACAACAGCTACGCAGTTTACCGCTGGAGGCCGTGGAATTGAAATAGATCTATAATAATTATAGTTCTATGAAAGTTACTCAGAGGTGACACTGAGGATGAAGAATTCAATGGATTTAGAGATTTGAGTGAGATGGAGAGTATGGTAAACTTGTTCTGTTCTGTTGTTTATGCTATAGTTATCTGAAGAACTGTTCATATGTTACATTGACATACCAGACGCCTATTCAGTCTGTTACTATATAACTTGTCTTTGATGAAATGTCGGTTCCTGGTCTCTCATTTTATAGCATACATTTTCCCCAAAAAGTGTGACTTATATATGTTTATTTCTTCTTCATTACGCATTTTTTGGCTGGTGTGACTTATACTCCGAAGCAATTTATAGTCTGAAAAATACGGTAGTTGAAAATGTGCTTCCATACATGTGCATTAAAGTATAACAAACAAATGGTCAATGCAATAAAAGACAAACCTAAAAAAAAAAAAATTATTTACTTGCATTTTGTTCACTGAGCAATGTACCCTCCTCATGTACTCTTCAGATAACAATAATAGCACTTCATTACTAAATCAATATCCCCCGAGCTCATGCTTTTGAGTTTGAGAAGTGGTGATATGGAGGATATGTGGAGAGTCCATGCAGACTACAGAGCACGACTGTATTCTCTTCCATAAAAAGGGATCTTATCCGCAGACTGTCACGCTCCATAACACCAGAGCTGCTCTGAGATCATCTGCTATATCGATGCACATGCAGAAAATACAGGCACAATCTCGCTGGACCATCCCACTAAGGTAATACAGCATGGTCTTTATCTGATACCTGTGTGTAAGTACATGCTCCCTGTCTCCAACTTATACTTTATACTTTACACTTTACATAACATCATCTACAACAGAAGACCAGATTGTGGTACGGTTTCCAAGATAAGTTTAAAATCATATCTGTGTGTAGAGATTGGTTTTATGAACTACAGATGTGATGAAGAAAGATAGAAAGACAGAAAGATAATCCGTGTATTGTTCATTTGTTTTTCAAAATAAAACCAAAAATAAGAAAACAAAAAAACAAAACAGTTTTCTTTATTATTTGTCTCCAAAACCAAAATGAACAAACAGATAATGATTAGGTTTTTTTGTTTGTTTTGTTTTGTTTTGGGGTTGTTGTTTTTTTTTTCAGTTTTTACGTTTCCCATTTCTGTGACTTAAACTGCGAGACCGGGACTGAGACCAGGACTGAGACCAGGACTGAGGCCGGGACCAGATCAGGACCAGACCAGGACTGAGATGGGTACCAGTCCAGAACCAGACCAGGACTGAGACCAGGACCAGACCAAGGCTGAGACCAGGACCAGACCAGGGCTGAGACCAGGACCAGACCAGGACTGAGACCAGGATTGAGACTGGGACCAGACCGGGACTGGGACCAGGACCAGACCAGGACCTGACCAGGACCAGACCAGGACTGAGACCAGGACTGAGACTGGGACCAGACTAGGACTGAGATCAGGACCAGACCAGGACTGAAACCAGGACTGAGACTGGGGCCAGACCAGGACTGAAACCAGGACTGAGACTGGGGCCAGACCAGGACTGAGACCAGGACCAGACCAGGACCAGGACCAGACCAGGACTGAAACCAGGACTGAGACTGGGACCAGACCAGGACTGAAAATGGTTTAGTCCTGGTTTAGTCCTGTTTCAGTCCTGACTCAGTCCTGGTTCAGTCTGGCATTGCAGTTTAAGTCACAAAAACGGGAAACAGCCGTTATCCTTTTTTTTTTTTCCATTATTAATTTAAACACAAAATTGAAAACTGAAAAAACAAATCGTTATCTATTTTTTCATTTTGGTTTTGGAGACAAATAAAAAAGAAAGAAAACTGTTGTTCTTTGTTTTCTTATTTTTGGTTTTATTTTGAAAATCTAATGATACACGGATTAAAGATTTTTAGAAATTTGTATTTGATATCTGTAAGGTCTTGAAGTTTATGGAGTAACA